AATCGATATATACCTTATTTAAAAATTTCCTGATGATGGGCGTTATTTCGCGAAGATACGGTAGTGTTCTTTTGATATAAAAACTATGAAATAATTTTTTGATCAAAAAATCTATCAATAATGCGACTGATCCTATTAGGTGATTGACAACCCCACCACGTAATATATTAATATTGTGAATATCATAATTAAAACCAGTCTATTTTTTAATCTTTTTTTTTTTTTAACTCGTCAAATTTTAAATTAAGGATCAAACAGAATTCTAAAGAATATATTTACATGTATTTATTATTTTATGAGAACCTCGCGCTCTTTCAGGAATGTGTATATATGCGCTTTTGATTCCAACAATCCGATTAAACATCGGCTTTTTCTCGCTAGACTATTGTAAATAATCAACTCTATTTAACTATCTTATTCCACTATGAATATAAAAAAAAATATATTTAACATTTGAAACAACGCAATTTGTCAACAAAAATACTCTAAAAATGTCGATTATTGTAAAACTTAATTCTGTATTTAGCCCATTTTAAGATAGTTTACTAATTTTTTGGTACACTATATATATATATAGGCAATAATTTCCAAAATGCTCTATCTTCTATATGAACGAGGTGGAAACTCACAATATCGATCTTTTACACGGGTTACTTGAAATACACCTACAAAAATAACCACAAAACCAAATTTATGTTTTTATAATGTGGTTAAAAATTTAGCGATGGTTAAAATATATATTTCAAAATACCTTGTTGTGAAGTAAAAATTGAATGCTGGTATTGATGAATATTAAGTACAGTATGGGTTTCAAGAACACGACCTGGTTTACGTTCTTTTTTTTCATTAATCAATAACTCGCTTCTAGTATAGGTAAACTCGAAAGGTGGGGTACCTTCAAAATTTAACGTTAGTTAAATTGAAAATATAAACGTTAATGTTTATCGTATTAGCTACTATGAAAATGCAAATCATTAAAAGACAATTCACCAATAAAATTGACAATAATTTCAGTTTTGTCTCCTTCTCTAATATC